GTTTTGTTCACAACTTCATCTCCTGCTGCAGGATGTGTGGAAAATGTTCAAAATAACGAAGTATCTCCCCGGAAAACTCTGTCTCAAGCAATCACGGATCGTAAGATCAGCTGTTGTAATAACCTGACAACTGATGCTTAATTCACATTGTCGACAGTCTTCGACCTGCATAGGCCTGACTTTTAAAGCTGAGAATACGAGACATTCTCTTCTACATCTTCAGAGGGAGTATTAAAAAATGCATCTCTCACAGGATATAAGGACAATACAGAAACATTAAGTGAAGTTTGATTACAAATGTGATTTATGTTGTCTTTCCCTGCATACTATTCTCAGATTTATAAATGAATGCCACAGATGTAAACTTGGTCTTATCTAGCTAATCTTTGTAGGCTGCCTACACTTGTAATGAGATCCACGGCCGTAACATATTCAAGGACGTCACATCTGTCTACTTTATTAGCCAAGTTTATTATGCGCTCTATTGACCACTCCCTGTCGATAGCAAAGTCAAACAAGGACATGGAATAAAAACCTCCAATTCTCATCCGTTCGCAATCGACTTGGATTCTCATCTCTGTATCTACAAATAATTATTTTATCGAGGACGGTTGACGTTTCTTTTGAATTGCGTATACTGCATTGAAGTGCTCCTGAGACTATAACAAAGAACCAGAAACAGATAATTTAATAGTCAGTAGAAAATTGTGTACACCACAGTGGACGTAGAAGAGGTCTGAGTCTCTTAGACCTCAAAACATAGTGACCCTCTCTACCTCCTCCAACAACATGCGAGAAGCTTCCAACATGAGCACGACGACAGGATCGTCCAACGACACCAGCCTCTCGCCCCTTGCCATGATGAAGGCCCATATGGACCGGAACGCCTGTATGGAGTTCTGTTCCGCAAACGTTTGCTCCAGCCTCGACCTGGCTGTGGAGTGTGTGCAGGATTTTATCTTCCCCACGTCCTTGGAGTGGCTGTTTATCTGTCTGCATCTTGTTCTCTTCACCATTGGAGTCGTGGGCAACTTTCTCGTAAGTGTCTTTGTTTATTTTGTTAAAGGCTCATTCTTTTCTTAACTTGTTGCTCATAGTTTGGGTGCACCATTGGCTTAGTTGGCATTGTGCTGAATTACGTAGGGGATCCGGGAGCGAATGGCCCTGGTTCAAATCCCGGGGGGGGGGCTTTTAAGGCTCTCCAAAGATTTGGCTCGCTGTTTCAAGAGACGGACATTAAATTCAAATTCGAAGACCCAACCTCTTACACAACATTATAGTTTTGAAATGGGCGTTGTACCAATACCTTTCCGATTTTTTTTTCGTTTATTGTTTATACGTCAATAGCCAATTTAACAGACGTAGAGCAATTTAAAAAATGTAGGAGATGAGGTTGGAATTATTTCTCGCGTCTTTCCAAACAGTATCCAGGGACTAAAGTCAGTGCTTCTCCTTCAAAATGACCTACAATGTAAATAATAACATAATGCATTTTATTATTAACAACTTAGGTCTTTCGAACCAAGCAATTTTAGAGATATGGACAGTTCTTTAGAAGGTCAGACTGCGTATGAGATGACACTTTGTTTGATGTAACTTCTGCTGTTATTATATTTAACAAGATTCGAAGAATTGTTCTTTAGTGTATTCAGTTAAAGAACGGATATAGTGTTGTTTCCGATTTTGTATTTGTTGTAAAATAGCACGTCCCCAGAAACACAGCCGTTCTTGTACACAGGTAAAATTGGGCTAAAATCATAAAGGAAAAGGGTGGGGATTAGCAAATATACCATAGGCCTTCTTTAATCTGTAATCACATTGGAAAGTTTTTAAGGGGGGGGGGGGGTGTGATAGACGAGAACTCCATAAAAAAGAACATGCACAAGGCATTCAGGCACAAACGAATATTTTTTTTTTTGTCATTCAAAGTAACCAAAGAGTTGACACCTCACTCGGAGCAAAAGACTATGGGCGCTGTTAAATATAAGAGATCAACAGAACATGTCTGTATTATTTAGAATGAGAGAGCTAAGGGAGCTCAACTCAACAAACAACCTTAGATCAGTATCGCCTTAATAGCTAATTGAACTTGAGTTACGATACAGTGCTCAAATATTTAATTTGTTTTTCTTAGACCTAATGTTAAAAATGGCGGTGAAGAAGAAGAAGAAGAAGAAGAAGAAGAAGAAGAAGAAGAAGAAGAAGAAGAAACAAAAACTTGCACACTTATGGCAGATGTATGCGCATTAAACAAAATCAACATTTGAAGCCTGAAGCGCAATGCAATGTTTAGCAGTTTTCGTTTAAATCTTGTCTTCAGTGTGTCATGCGAAAAGCATTCTTTTAGCTTGAAAGACAGTGTTTTCAGTCCCTCGATCGAGGAGCGTAGACTTTTTAATCATTGGGTTCAAATGAACCACGGCAGCTGGAAATGTGTCTGTCCAACCAGCTATTGACCTCTTAAATGGAATTTCACGTCTCTGGGATCGTCAATAAACCCCAATGTGAACAGTGACAGAGACTCTTTCAGGAATCCAGTTTTATGATAGGTTTGGTTTTTGTAAGTGTTTTACGGCGCTCGCAACTTCATAAGGTCATACGAGCGCGCGGGACACATTAAACTTTTTCAGTTGGTAGGACATTTTGAATTTTGCCAAGGTGGCGGCCGAAGCCTACTCTTATCGATTTTAGACCACCAAGGAATCTTCAACGTGCGCAACTTGCACACGGACCATCTGAGATTGTTTTCGCCCTTGTCCGAGAAGGCTAGGTGTAGATCTTTCCTACCAGAAGAGCAGGGGTGCGGCTGAAAGACAGCAGTATCAAGAAGCCAAGGAGTAGCAGTAGAAAGGCTGTAGAAAGAATCAGGAGCCCAGAGGGGGGCAAAGGAGATGAGGGAGCGGGGACAGAAAGAGGAGACGAAAGCAGATGACAGAACATTGCTAGAGAGCAGGAAAGGAGGTGAAAGGAGACAAATTTAGGGATGAAAATTGTTCGGTCACTACCCGGATTCGAACCCAGGACCTTTGAATGAGAGGCCAACACCTTAACCTCTAGGCCACGAGAGACCCCAGTTTTGTGATAGAATTTGCCAGCGAAAGCCTTTTCAGTTCCGTTCCTCAGCATAGTGATGGTTGAATCTTACTTATTTTCTCGTTCCCTATATCGTTAGATACACAAAGCAGGGAAGAGGTGGACACCACGTTTGTCTGCCCCTGGCTACTAATTTCAAAATACTAGAGTGTGTTACGTAGTGCTCATACAACGAAATATTCCATTTTGAAGTACATTTTCAAACAAGCGTTCATCTTATGGAGTACTTTGTAGCAGACGTGTTTCTTTTTTTTAAAAATGTGAACAGCTGGTAATTTGATTTAAAGTTGTTTTTTTTCTGAATTACGTGGTAGCAAGGTTGTTTGTTTGTTTGTTTAGTATAGGGTTTTACGGCGCTCGCAACTGCATAAGGTCATATGAGCGCGCGGGACA